TTATTGAGAAGGTAGGGGTCGGTGGGGGGGGGGGGTGGGGGGCGTGGAAGAAGGCGACTTCACGATTCCTTGCCATTTTATGCTCCTTCGTTCATTTTTTTCAATCCTTTGCACACTAATAGACCTTAACGTTCTTATATAGGAAATGCTTTGAAGGAAAAATTTCCCCACCAGTTTAAATCATACGTCCGCCCACTTCATTTATTCCTTGTACAACAACAGAACAGCCAACACCGCATACATCAATCTGATCCGAAATTTAAAACTATTTACTATTCTTTAATTAATCATTCTTCATTTTCCTGTGGTCTCACTCAAACCTTAAAGAACTTCTACCAATCATTTGGAAATATCCAGTGTTGAATGGGTATTAACGGAACTTCTACCTAGAGGTAGACTTACAACGAGATATTTGAGATCGATATCCAACTTCACTTTGCTCTCATAGATTTGGGGATATTGGCGTCGAAGACAACAGAGGCAAGCTTCAGTTGTTAGAGCTTTCATGTCAGCGCCACAGTACCCAGTAGTCTCGCTTGCCAGATAGTCCAACAACTGAAAAGAAGAGAACAAAAGTTAGCAGTCATATTCATCTGCTCCGATTGGCTGACAAAAGTTAATGGTAATCTAAGATCACAAAAGACAATACAACTCCCAATCAATTTAATTGGTAATACCGACCATTATCAATTAATCGTCCGATCAAGATGCATTGGAAATTCGTTCAGAATGGTGAGACAAGAATGATAAGTTTAGATCAGGAAGCAATGAAAAATAATGACTCGAATATGCTAATATGAAATAATGCGCTGAATTTACTCTATTCACATCATTCCAGTTCCTTGGACTAATTCCTTAATGAATTTGAGGCTTTATAAATTCAAGTGATCTCTCAGGAAAAATTGGATTTTCATTTCTTGTCTTCAAGGTCATTCATTCATTCGAATCGAGTTCTTATTCTCTGCACTCATTTGCCCCCCCCCCCCCTAATCAGGAATAATTCACTTGACTTAATATAAATTAATTATCAGTTACCAACTGCTGGGTCACTTTTGTGGAGGGCAAGAGCTTTGGGAAACTAATGGCAAGAGAAATATGTACCCAGAGAGCAGATATCGGATGCACTTTTGTTGGAAATGCGATTTGTAGTCACTTAGTGATATGCACGCTATGGAAGTCATCGAGTTCAACAAGAATTTCGCTCAGGGTAAAAATCCTTAGAGGAAGGAGAGAGCTTATAAGTAACTGTCAATACCAATAGTGAGCAAAGTCACCACTAATGACTTAGCCCCTTTGCTGAAATCATAATTTTAGAGCCCCAAGTGAAATAGGTGGTGCCTAGGGTCAATTATGAGCTTTAATATTGCGGTCCCAACGTAGAAACCCAAATATCTTCCACAATGTCACAATTGCAGTAAATTTCACTCTTTGTACTTATACGAGAGTGGATCGAAAAGTACTGTAAATAGAACAAAAATTACTAAGTCTTTAAAAGTTCAAACGTGTCTCTGGAGCTTTCTCAATAACATACAACTGTAAAAATACAGAATCAAGGCAGGTTTGATCTCAAAATAGCTAGTGATTTTCAACCCTTTAAATGGCAAATTTTGAGACCAGAGTTTATATAGCAGTCTTAACTAAGCTAAAGCACGTCTTCACTGCAGAGAAGCTTTACAACAAATTTATGGGGACTAAGCGCTTTAGAGAGAGAGATAAGTGCAACTTGATGACTATCCATGGGGAAGGAGACCCACCACAGCAAGAAATCAGGAAGACATCTGTTTTAAGCTCTGTATTACCGGGGATGGAATCTGGAACCACCAATTCAATCCAGAAAAAGAAGTTCAATCAAAAGAGTGGCATCCAGAGGAAACAACTAGGCCAACTTAGAAGCAAGGAATTTACGTATTTAGATGAAGCGGAAAAGAATACAATTTCAGCCCCCAAAATTCAACCATGAGGGAAATTACATGCCGAAATAAGGATGATAGAAGCGCATATACAACAATGGAGCCAATATAGAAAAAAAATAACTGAAACCACTTTTCCAATAAATAAATTATGGAATTTGTCTGAGAACATTTTGGCTCACCCTCGTATACAGCAAAAGAGATCAAATTCAGTGATATTTGTTATTAGGAGGGGGGGGGGGGGGGGGGGTGGTTAAGACGCCATAAATCTTCCACGGCGAAGGCATTCGAAGTACGGGCTGACCACCACCAACTGGCAGTAAATGAAGATTAGAAATGAAATAGAAATTGGGCCGGCAAGACTCACATAACCCAATTGGCGGACAGTGAAGGAATTTACCGAAAGAGAGAATTTTCACATGCAAATAGAGAATCGATTCGCACTATGAATCCCAGAAGATTTTGTAGCATAATTGCTGAAGTACGAACATTACTACTCCCATATCCGCAGGAATTCACAATTTCTTACGATTATTGAGATTTCGAATTTAGGCTTCGCAATACAGCGATCTTTTCTAAGGAAATTTTGCAAAGGAAGATATTTGTAACAATTCCAAGTTCTATTACAAAGTTAAGGCACAGAGCGTTGACAACTTAATGATTTTGCTAAGGGGGACCCCATAAAGTGCAAACAACCCAACAAAGCGAAAGCTACTTAAATTAACTATAGTAAAGAGAAATTGGGGGCCCAATCAAGCTAATTTAATAAGGCCAGTGGTTGCTGTCATGGCTGATGAAAGGATTGAATACGAAGAAAAGTGACCTTAAGCAATCACGTTTATCTCTCAACTGTAGAGACTGAAAAGTTTGTGAAAAGTACAAATACCAAAGCATCGCAAATATGAGCAGCACAAGTTCAGTGCAAAACCAAAAGCGTTGCTAAAACGTCATTCCGGTGACTGACTTTAGAACCAGTGCGTTAATAATACGGAGTAGAATATGCGATGCCCTCTTGACTGATCACCCAAGTCATCTGAAGCGGGCTGTGAAGGCATATTACCGATTTACATGATCAGATCAAGCTTAAAAACCGTAGACCACACGGATTCGGGATGTGTGTGTTAAGATACTTAAATTGTAAATTTAAAGGGAATAAAAGATGATATTTTCAAGTACATAGGTAATAAAGACAAGGAGACTCAACTTGCAACCCCCTACTCCAGGAATATCCGCACTTTTCGAGAAAATGCAGTTTCATAGTTTGCCCTCCACTAGAGTTTGGCAACGGTACTACTTAAAGTAGCAAAATTATTAAGTCTTTTACCGTCTACGCAATTTTCCAGTTTATATAGCGAAATCTCGCTATATTTCAAGACAAACTTCACATGAACAATGTGGGGAATAGGCGTTATTTTCGATAATAGGAAGAGAATTCAAAATGAAAGATTAATTTCATCAAGGTAGAATAGTTTAATTAGTCCAAGTTATTGTTACCATATGACAGAGCTAAATTTGAACTTATAATATGAACGTAAACAGCGAAAGCTTTTACCAGCTTATTAGAAATTACCTGAAAACTAATAGCTATGTAGTTTTATCGCGAACTACACACTTTTAAGCGAGTCAAACATGAAATGAAATATAAAATTATAATGAGAGCTACATCAAATAACATAATTCAGTTACCCGAAATTATTTTTACCAATGCAAAGCAGAGAATGGCGTAGTTATACAAGTGTGCAAAACAAAGAATGACATTAACTGGAAATGATTCTGACTGTGTGGTGAAAAAATTTCGTTCTTGTTCAACCATAACCTTAGAGACTGTGTCTTTAAGAGCACCCTAGGACTCAAAAACTTAAAAACTTAGGCAAATTGGCCTTCTACACATGAACACTGATATCTTCTAACTGCTATAAACACCGGAGATATCACCCAAACATTTAAAGTCATTTCTAATTATCTCTGAACTTGGGCTGAAAATAAATAACTAACTAGTGCCTTAGAATCCGTAGAAACCATTCAGAGGCCCGAATGAAGAACCAACGACACACGGACTGCGTGAGACTTCCTGTTTACCGTTTACCATATTTCTATTAAACCTTTGTTCTAATCAGGACATTATTTGATTTTACCTCAAATTGATTATAAAAATAATCTAGTACACATCCACGCTCTTTGCACACAATATTACAGGCCATTCTACTCTCATCAAAAACAATATTTTAATTCAGCAACGGGTATATAAGCATTCAAAAGCCAACTATGAAATCTCTAAAGCCTATTTCTGTTCTATATTCCTTTTATTTCTAATCGTTAATTGGTAAAAGAGCACTCAACGAACCTGATCATCGGGTTTAGGATCCCACTTTGCGGTATTGATTTGGAGAATCCGCCGTCGTGTATCCATATTTGGCAACTTGAAATGGAATTCTCGATCAAAACGGCCAGGGCGTCGAAGTGCCGGATCGATAGCATCGGGTCGATTCGTGGCACCAATCACCACGACACCGGGTCTACGATCAAGGCCATCCATTAGGGAGAGGAGTGTTGCAACAATACTGGAATGAACTTGATCCTAGAGAAAAAAATAAGTAAAAAATTGGGACCGGCTGTGACTAAATATAAGCAAGAACTCGGCCAAGCCTAGTCAATTTGCCTTATCGATTGAGGCACAAATTAAAAAAATAGGCTGGCTGGTTTGAGATTGTAAGAACATACAAGAGCGATGGTTCGTCTAGTCTCTACAGTCTAAGATAGACTAGCACTTACACGGTCAGCATATAAAAGAACTAAAGTCAAAGAATACCTCATCCTAAAAGAGCAAAAATAACCATTTTGGCGTCATTGTAGAGCATACAAGTGAAATTAGCTGAAACAGTTCAGCCCAATAAGGTCAAGTGAACTAATCGGCCACTTAATAAAGTTATAATCTCAATTGACCTCATGTTCTCCTGGTTAATAACAAGCAATTAGAATCTGAGGACATAGAACCGCAGTGGACGCCATTAGATAAATTTAAATATCGACTTAAAATGTAGATGTAAGCGCTTTGGTAAATTCTAGAAACGCTTTAATTGATTTAAAAGGAAGGATATATAAGTGGGCCGACAAGTTTAAATCTTGAAAAGGATTGTCGGAGTGGGAGAAAATGAAAGAAAAATAGTGATTAAATTGTTATATGCCTTTGAAAACGATATAGTAGCTACGCTAATACATTAAGTACTACGATTGTCAATTGAAGAAAAAAATTATTACCGAGTTTGATCCAGTCTAAAAACTTCTGATTTAAGGCAAATACCTCATACTCTGATAATTTCCAAAAGGAAGACAAAAAAAGCGTAAACTTTGAGTAAGTGTGCTTGAGAGGTACCCCAGTGGTCGACTTTGTATATTCGTCAAAAATATGAATTATAGAATGCGAATTTCTCAAAAGAGCAGCTACAGGATATTCACTTGACTATAGTCGCATCTATCTCTTACTGGACTATTCTCAAACTTTGTCATTAGGCACTCATCCACACTAAAGCGGCGAGCTTTCACTTTACTGTGAATAATAATAATAATAACATCAGAAGAAATAGGATTATTTATAGCGAAATAAGTAAATCATCAAGTATTGGGACTCACCTGTCGAGAAGACCTCACTGGAGCAAGTCCATCCAGTTCATCGAAAAAGATAATTGAGGGTTTCAAGCGGTGGGCCTCTTCAAATAGATCACGAAGCATCCTCTCCGTCTCACCAACCCATTTGGAGAGGACATCAGCACCTTTTCGCATGAAAAAGGCGATGGGACGAGCATTGGCGGCTGAGACACCTGGAATGGTACTAGCCAGCCCCTCACCTGAACTCATTCGGGTGCATTCATTGGCTAGAGCTCGAGCAAGTAAAGTCTTACCAGTTCCTGAAAGGAGGCGAAACGTGTTGGTGAATAAAAGGAGAGAAAGTAGCATATTTGTTAAATTATTACATGAATACTGGAAAATGAGACTGCCGTTCTGCTCAATGTTTGTTCACATTATTACGATTTTAAACTAGGGATCTCTGCTTCGAAGATGAATAAGGCAAAACAACAGCATGACGACACACGGTCATATAAAGAAATTCGTATCTCATTGTACTCTCTTACTAAAATTAACAACTTCGGTTGGCTATATACACCTCTGAATACGCACCGATGAGTATAGATTAGGTGACCTCTCATTTGGTAGACCTATGCGATGGTCATTGAGGGACTGGCCAAAATAACATATTCGTTTTTAAACCAATAAAAGACACTGATGAATTACCAGGTGGCCCATGAAACAAGACACCCCGAGGAGGCTCGATGGTTTTGCTTTGGAATAACTCCGGATAGACAAGAGGCAAGACAACAGACTCGCGAAGAGTTTGAATTTGTTCATGAAGTCCAGCCACTTCATCAAAAGTGACGTTGGAGTCAAAACATTCAATCGGTTCCACCGAGGTCGTGGTTCCACCAGCATTCGGAATGAATCGATTCCGAAGGGGAGCCTTCTGAAAAGCAAAACAAGTAAATTCATTATGTCACTAGTTACCGCAAAAATTAATAATGCCTCCAAGTTCACTACGGGAAGTGTTTTCCAACAACCACTATGATTGAAGAAATAGCATACTGGGACACTCTCCTGCCCCATTATATTCAGAGAGTTCAAACCCATGATATCAGACAACATAGATGAGGACGAAAACCATTTTGAAGAAAGCACATTTCAATTAATCTACACAGCAACGGTGATACTTCTAATCAATTCTTAACAAAGACGGATTCTCTCATTCTCAACCGTCAAAAACTCGCTTATTAGAGGTTTATTTTATAATCTAATTCATTGGGGTAAGTGCAGCTTAATTGTTACAAAAGCGACAAACCTCCTCAGTAGATTTGAAGTTAAGGGGTCGAAGGAGATCAGCCGCCTGTCGACGGTATGACTCCTCAAGTTGTTCTTCAGAGTGATCATTTCGCCGGGAGGTTGGACGCTGGAGTGGACGCGAGGTTGCAGTATATCGATCGGACCGACCTGCTTCCTCATTGTCACGGTCAGAAAGGGAGGTTGAAATGCTGTCTGGATGAACGTGATTGCTAGATGGAGGAAAGAAGGAGAAAAATAAAAAAACATAGCAGAGTTGCTGTATACATATCAGTAGTCTAATTTGATAATATGGGGTGTGCGATAGACTTACCTCCACGTGGT